TACTATTTTATCAATCCGTTTCATTTAATACCAGTTAACAGGAAGTAGCCAAACAGGTTTCAGCACTCGGGTCCAACCAGGTCCGACTGGAATTTTTCACTCTCAAAGACCAGCTCATTGGATCTGGCTCACCCATAATCCAACTAATGTTAAAACTCAAAAGAGAGAAGTAACAAGCAGATGAGGTACGTATGAATCCCATGCTGATGATGGGTCCTAAACATCACATCACTGGATCACAATACCATGTAGGCATGTAATAAACTAAAAACCATCTAATCCCTTGAACCTGCACCGACAAACAGGGGCAGTACCGGACCATGAAGAACAAATTGGTTTTTCCATAATTTCAAAGGGTATGCTTCTCTAACTATATATACTAGCAGCGATCCGTGCGATGCATGGAAAAATATGTAAGATTTAATAATTTTATTTTTTATTTAAAGTTGATTTATAAAAAATAATTATTATTGGTTGAATATGAATAAATATTTTTAATAAATTTAGTTTTATTAATAATTTGTAGTAATTTTAATAATTTGTGTTCTTTTTATTATTTTTAAATAAAATTTTGATTAATTTTAAATAAAGAAAAATAATTATAAAAACTAACATTTTTATTAATTCTATTAATGATTAACAATTATATAAGAATGACAACGGGGTGGGTTCAGGGCAAGGCACCCCATCCCTTTCCCTACCCCATAGTCAAGACACTCTACCCCATCCTCGCCCCATCCCCAGTGTCACATGAGGTTCAAGGCAAGGTAATCACTCCTCAATGTTAGGCGAGTTCAGGGGCAAGGCACCCCACTCCTCATCAAGGATGAAAAATCCTCGAATTTCTCTGCCCTATCCCCAGTATTGAACGGGTTCAAGTAGAAGTGTAAATTGAGTCGTGCTAGGTCGGCACGACACGACCCACATGTGGCCCGCATGAAGTGCGAGTTGTGTCGTGCTAGCCCATGAGGCATCCCGGGCCGTGCCTCTTTCCTCTATGATAATTTGGAGGGTCGGTGTGAAGCAAGGAGAGGTATGGTGACGTGGACAGACCAATTTTAATATATATATATAGAGAGAGAGAGAGATACAACAAAATCTCAACCTCAATAGATCTTCCACTTCCACTTCCATCTCTCTCTCTCTCTCTCTCTCAACCTTAATAGGGGTGATCGTGGGTCAGGCTAATGTATGCGTGCTAGACCAGGCCTACCCAGAAATGGTCAGTCCTACCTGTACTAGTTTGGGCCAGCCTAGATTACTAATCCTAACACCTCTATCTCCATCCACACATTTTATTTCCCTTTCTTCTACGTTTCCATGTGTTCAAGGGTGGCAACTGATAACGGGGCGGATGCTTTGGTGGTCTAAAGGTCTAAGCCAGCGGTTATAGGACCGTCAGCTTTGATCGTTTTTCTTGTAGTGGTTCGAGTCGAGCCGAACTTAAGTCTCTAGCTCGAATAAAACCCAAGCCTATATTATTCCTACAGCCAAGCTCGAATAGACAAATATTCGATTCGGCTCAGCTCAAATCCACCCCTAATTGCAATATTCTATATAACAGCGAATAATCTAGCACTATAGTTAAGAAATAGTGATAAATGTATATGGTATGATGGCATTTATAATTGCCGCTTAAAGTAGCTCCTTCACACTAGTGCTTGCTATTTGCTCCACAAAGGCAGGTGGAAAGCTCTATGAAGAGAGATAATTAAGGACAAAAAAAAAAAGGGAAAAGAAACTCCAATTTCAGCTCTAATAATCAAGTATTAATAAAGGAGTTGAAAGATATTTAAGAATCAATAATGGCAAAAAAGTACTTTATGGCAACAACGTCAATAAATATTGAAACTATGCAGCAAAAAGTACTTCATGGAGAAAAGTGTTATGAGAAATACAATAAAAAACACAAGAAAGCACACTACAAAGAGCTACTTAACTTCACACCCTTTGATGACTCATCCCACAATAATCCAAAGTGCCAATGACATCATAATAGACATGAATCAAATGCAAACCATTTCATAGAAGAGGGGGTTGGCCCTCTCCCAAGTAGTTATGTTCATCATCACAAATGCATTAAGATCAGATCGCAAGACCAAGATCCATATATATGAAAAAAGCTAAAGGCTAATGACGCTTGTAGCCGTCTAATAAGGTCTTTTCACCACAATTAATGTATTTGTGCCAATTATCAGAGTCACTAATTGAATCTAACTCTCTTTGGTTCTTTGTCCCTTGGGTAGTCCCTTCAAGTTGTGATAGAGATTCCCTGCTAGTATTAAGAAGGGTTGTGTTTGCTTGTTTATATCTTCTTTTCCCTTTTGGGTACATAAAGAAGAGAGGTGTGTCAATTACAAACTTAATGTGATTAAAACTGATTCATACATTTCATAAACTAAAGATTAAAAAGCTATTTCATGAAAGCAGCTTATGCTTAATGAAAATAATTTTCATTTATCATTGTTGATTATTGTACAATATAGTCACTGATTTAGTATATGTTTATTGGTTTCAGTGAGTCCAAGCATTCACCTGATTCTAGAGGTATACAGTTTCAGAAAACTCGGACACTCACCTAGTATATGTTTGAAATCGATGTTGCATATACAGCACCATTTTCTCAGATAAAATATAAAAGAAAAATACAAAATTACCACTTTTACTTTTCAACATATTCACTGATGGCTCTTCCATTGAAGAAACTAAAAGGGAAGCTTCGAGCATATAATATTCTCACATGAAAACAATTTTGAATGGTAATGGTTAATGACACACACCCAGCTTAATTAATTAACAATCGGGATGAAGTTGAATTAATTAGGCTTTTCAGCAAAATCCAAGGACCTCTTTATATGCTATATCAACAACATTTAGTCAATAAATGAAAGAACTAATTCCTGATAAATTATTAATTCATAACAAGAGCATACACCAAGGGAAAAAACCAACTAACAAAACACCATGGCATGCCCACATTGGATGCTTTAATTTTAGCCACAAAATAAGGCTTATGGGAGTAAAATGCATATGTTTTTCCCCTTGCAATTGCTCTTACACTCTCAAACTGGTAATGTATATATATATAAAGATAATGGATACATTAAATATGATCATTACCATCAAGTTTAAGAAGCTTCTTACTTGTGATATTATTATTTTGTTGTTCACACTGGTTGGAAGCCAAGTTGTAGAGTGGTTCTTGTCAAGACGTGACAATAAAAGCATGCTCATCCCAACATGCTCTTGTATCAAAGATTTTCACAATAAAATTCATATTTCCTTCATATATAAATACCAAAAAGTAATCAACATTCAAGCAATGGTCCTTTGCGAAAAACTCTCAACCATCTTAAAAAAAAAACTCGATTAACTTCTATATTTATTTTGATATGCCATATCTGACCATTAGGACCCTTTAAAGTAGCTCCTTCAAACCAGTCACTTGCTATTTGCTTCACAAAGGCAGGTGGAAAGCTCTATGAAGAGAGAGATTTAAGGACAAAAAAGGGGGAAAAGATGCTCCAATTTCAGCTCTAATAATCAACTATTAATAAGGGAGTTGGAAGATAATTAAGAATCAATAATGGCAAAAAAGTACTTTATATGGCAACAATATCAATAAATATTGAAATTATGCAGCAAAAAGTACTTGATGGAGAAAAGTGTGATGAGAAATGCAATAAAAAACACAAGAAAGCACATTACAAAGAGCTGCTTCACTTCACACCCTTTGATGATTCATCCCACAATAATCCAAAGTGCCAATGACACATCATAATAGACATGAATCAAATGTAAATCATTTGATAGAAGAGGGATTAGTTACGTTCATAATCACAAATGCATCAAGGTTAAATTGCAAGACCAAGATCCATATATATGAAAAAAACTAAAGACTAGTGACTCTTATAGCCCTTTAATAAAGTCTTGTCACCATAATTAATGTATTTGTGCCAATTATTAAAGTCACTAATTGAATCTAACTCTCTTTGGCTCTTTGTCCCTTGGGTAGTCCCTTCAAGTTATGATAGAGATTCCCTGCTGTATTAAGAAGGGTTGTGTTTGCTTGTTTGTATCTTCTTTTCCCTTTTGTGTATATATATTTACACTCTCACTAGACTTATCAGGATTTGATGATGAAGCCTTATCTCCTATATCACAAAAGGAAAAAATTCATAAATATATATAAAGATAATGGAGACATTAAATATGATCACTACCATCAAGTTTAAGAAGCTTCTCACTTGTGATCTTATTATTTTGTTGTTCAAACTGGTTGGAAGCCAAGCTGTTGGGTGGTTCTTGTGAAGACGTGACAGTAAAAGTATGCTCATCCCAACATATGCTTGTATCAAAGATTCTCACAGTAAAATTCATATTTCCTTTATATCTAAATACTAAAAAGTTACCAACATTTAAGCAATGGTCCTTTGTGAAAAACTCCCAACCATCCTAAAAAAAAAAAACTCAATTAACTTCTATATTTATTTTGATATGCCATATCTGACCAGTAGGACCCTTTAAAGTAGCTCCTTCAGACCAATCGCTTGTTATTTCCTTCACAAAGGCATGTGGAATGCTTTATGAAGAGAGAATTAAGGACAAAAAAAGGGGAAAAGATACTCCAATTCCAGCTCTAATAATCAAGTATTAATAAGGGAGTTGAAAGATAATTAAGAATCGATAATGGCAAAAAAGTACTTTATGGCAACAGTATCAATTAAGACACTAGAGTAGACCCTCCTGAGTCAGTTGATGACTCGGCTCAATTAAGACAAGATTCAACGATGGAACGGACCATCCTATCACGTGTTCACACGTGAATCCACAATCTCAGTTCAGTTCAGGTGGTGGAAATCAAATCAATCTCCCACAAGATTGTCCCGTATAATGTCCCAAAAATGATAATGTCATCATCGGGACTCGGGAGATGTTCCCAATACAGAACGGAGATGTGGTGTGGGACGTTGTCTTGTGGTGAAGCACGAAGCTTCACACCTTCACCTCCTTCTATAAAAAGCACGTTTGAAGTTTCCTGCGCGCAAATTACCCGACACTAAGAAATGATTTACACATTGCCATTTTCCTGCGCTGAAGCCCGAACACTCGTCGCTTTCGTTGCCGCCCTTTTCCGGCTCCGTTAAACGGACTTTCTCTCTCACAGATTTTCTTTGTGATAGATTTTAGGCCTTTCAAACCATAGAAACCGATGCTTTCTTGGACTCTGAAGCAAGAATTCTCACTTTTCCATGATTGTCGTCTCGTTTCGTGGCTTTGCAGAGGTGAAGGTATGGTGTTACTCGTTCTTGCTTAGATTTTCGTTCTTGCTTTTCTTTTCTATCTTTTTTATGAATTTTCGAGATTAATCTCGTGTTGTTTCCAACTTGATGCTATTTTCTGCACTTGGGAAGTTAGGAGGTGTCTGCAATTGAGTCCGCAGTGAATTTCTAGTCTTGTTTTGGTTCTTTGAGCTACATTTCGTTATTGCTTCTTAATTTTTCGGGGCAAGCTGCTGTATGCAGTTCGAAGTTCTATCAGTTTTATTGGTTTTACAAGTTTTGATATAACCTGCATCGGTTACTCATTCTACCTGATTTTATTTCTACCATTTCAATGTTTAGGTGATTAGTGGGGGTTCGATTCTTTAGGTGGTCAGCGTTTTGTTATTACGTATTGGCTGGGTTAACTATCACGACTTCCGGAATGACACCTGCTGAATTATGAATTCAAGATGATGGGCCCGAAACAGTGGCACCCGGCTGATTAAGGTTGAGACGAGTTGCAATCGCTGTAGCTCTGGTCCATATTTCTTGGTTTGAAGCACAGCATTGATCAGCTCCCAGGTAAGGGAAAAAATAGGTGAGCGACTTGCTTTACCGACTTGCATTGTACTTAGGAGATACTTATAAAAAAATGTAGTTGGGAGATGACATTACACTAATGCGTTCAGTAGTTAGTTGGATATTGATGATATAAAAGCCTTTCAACACAATAATTTAATGCGCTTCCATAAATCTTGAATTACTTTACTTAACCAAGTTTTTTCCATTGATAAGAAAACGTAAACCCTTTTGTATTCACTGAACATTCAAATTGGCAATCATTGTCAAATAGAAAAGAAAAAATTCCCAATTAGTACCCTGTACTTTGGGCCTACGGCCACTTTGGTCCCCGAACTTTAAAACGTGATAATTCAGTAACTGAACTTTCAAAATGTGTCAATCCAGTATCTATCGTTAACCAATCTGTTGACCAGCCGTTAAGTGACATTTGAAAAGACACAAATGCCCTTTGAGTGTCATCTAATTTTCTTTATCAACCATCCACATGTTGATAAAAATGAACAGTCTCAAATCCTTGCCTCTTCTGTTCAAGAAAGTTGGGGTCACCAAAATGCCCATTGAGATATGACCCAACTTTCTTGAATAGAAGAGGCAAGGATTTGAGACTGTTCATTTTTATAAAGTGTGGATGTTGATAAAGAAAATTAGATGACACTCAAAGGGCATTTATGTCTTTTCAAATGTTACTTAACGGTTGGTTAACGACAGGTAATGGATTGACACATTTTGAAAGTTCAGGTACTAAATTGTCGCGTTTTAAAGTTCAGGGACCAAAGTGGCACTAGGCCCAAAGTACAAGGTACTAATCTTCCTAATAAAAAATGCCTAAAAAAAATTAGGGCCCATTTGGCGCGTCTTAACGCGCGGTCTTTCGGCTGTTTACAAGCCAGGAAGACTGATTTTCGGTCTATTCCCGTTTGTCTTGCGGAAGATCTAGCCGCCAAAAGACGGTGCACCGAAAAGATGCGAGAAGCCCATTTCGGGCTGATTTCGGGAAGCTTCATTTGAAGCTTCCCGTGTCTTTCGTGTTTTAATCTCGCGCGGAAAGACGCAGGCAAACGCATGGAAAGACGTGTGTCTGCCAAACTGTCTTCAGGCTGCCCAAATCTTATGTCAAAAGCTCAATGCGTCTTTTGACTGTCAGAGCTACAAGATCTTCTCAAAAAGACACGCCAAATGGGCCCTTAATCATCCGCAAACAAGATTGATGGGTTAGATGATAATGTGTTAAAATAAGGAAAATACCAAGGCAAGGTGGTCTGGTGTCAACAGACATCCCAGTCTCCAGGTGGAATATGCATTTTTTATTTTTTGGAGCATGAGCATTCTGCATGATCCCACTTAGGCAGTTAGTATGTGCTCATCCCACCATACACAATCACTGAGTACTTCCTTAATAGTACTAAATTTAGTATGGTTTAGAAGAAACGGTACATCTGGTATAAAGCTGATCCTGATAGCTGAGACCAGGAATACTCTGATATGATGGTAATTGGAATGATAAATTCTAGGAAATTACTAAAAATTCCTTAGTAGTATGCTAGTATTTGTTCAATTCTTAGAGTAGAGAATTTTCTCTTCTTTTTGTGGGTTCATAGGAAGGCTGCAGTATTTCAGCCTTGATAACTAAATGAATAAAGCTCATGATTCTGAGTGGAACTCGAATTTCTATCTTTAGCCAATTATATGTAACATTCCCATCTCTTAAATTGATGATAGTATGGTGATATTGATATTGACATTTTCAGGATAAGGTGCAAAAAGTTATGGATTTGGATAACAAGAGTCCACCAGAGAAGCAAGGTTTGTTAATTTTAGTTATATGTTTTACTTGAAGTGCCTTTCTTTTCCATTATCTTTGAGCAAAAGTGTGGCTTGAAAGAATGAATTGCCGTATATAATACCTTATACTGTTGTTTCCAATGATGTAATGACTCTTCAGATGAACTAGAATACATGTATTATGTGGGACATGAATGGGAATATGACTTCAACATTGGTTATGGTGCAGGTAATTTGGTTTTACTTGTTTACTTCATTATCTGCATATTTAAATCCCTTATTGTCACTTGCACTACTGTTATTTCTAATGGTTCATAATTTTGTTTTTTTTTTTTTTGGTAAGACTTGCTTGAAGAAGATGCTTTGAATGTGAAATGTTGTCTAGAAGTATTGAGAAGATTGATATCAAAGGCAGATGCTGAAATTGAAGAGTTGGAAGAAGATCTTGTGATACTTCAAACCCAGCTAGAATGGAACGAACAAAATAAACACGAAGATTGTTCTGAGATATGCTGTAATGCTTTGAGAGAAAAGATCCATTTCCTAGAGTTATCAATTCAGTGTCTAAAGGGTGAAGTAATGAGGAAGGATGATAATAGTATTCCATCACAGGACAGAGAACCTGCCAAGAGAATTCTTGAAATAATTAATCCTCTGTTAAAAAATCATATCCATAAGAAAGATGAACAGGTTTGACTCTTAAAGCTCTGAAAGCATTCATTTATCCACATCCAAAATTCTAATTGGCCATCATGTGTCCCTGTCTCTTCTTGTTATTTCTCTACTGAAACTGTTCTTGATTGCATTTATATGTGGAAATTACTGGAAATCAGCCTAAAATTTTGTGTATCAGAAATATGTTTGGCTATCTATCTCATTTTGTGTACAATCAATCTCTCTCTCTCTCTCTCTGCTTTGGTGAATACAAGACTTTCTATAGAATGTTTTAGGATTCCTTGGTCCCAGTTGCTTTTGTTGACATAAAGCTGGATATTGGCATCATAAGATTCCTAATACGGGTCATGTTGGGGCTATAATCTTTAATGATATGATAACTTGCACTTGACTGTTAAAAATACCCTAGCCAGTGTATGTTGAATGCAGTTCTAAGTTTGTGTTGAAAATATTCTCAATTATATAGCAGGTAGATGAAAAAGAAATCCAATAAAAAAGCAGATGAAAACAAAAAAAGCAAGCAGATGCTTAAAGCTTTAGGAACTTGTGTTTGAATAAAGGTTCTGCAAACCCAGTTAACAAGCTAGAATTTCATAGATTTCTATTGAAATATTTTATGAGATTTGCGGAGAATGACCGTGCTTTGTTTTTGTTACTTAATTCAACAAAGCCTTGTCCCAACTATATGGGGTTGGCATCTTGGTGACATAAATCCCATTCTGCAATTACACTCTGTTCAGTGCCATGTCCATTGTTAAATTATGGGCCCTCATTTCTCACTATTTTAAACCATGTTCATTTTGGCCTGCCCTTATCTTTTCTAGACCTTTCAACTTGTAACAGTTCACTGTCTATAACTCAAGTATTAATTAACAAGTTTTTATTAATGTGTGCCCTTATCTTCATTTTTTTTATATTTTCTTCCATAAATGAAGTGAGTCCATGTCATTCACACTGAATGATTTGTAAGTCTCAGTTTGGAAAGAGTGCAAATACAAGTATGTTCAGTACAAAACCTTGTATGCAGCATGGTTTTTAAAACCGACCCGGAGATCGAACCGGTCAGGGGTCCGGTTACCGGGTCGAACAGTCCAACCGTTCGAACCGAACGGTCGGCCCGTTCTGACAAAAAAATTAAAAAAAAAATGAAAACCGGTCAAAACCGTTCGAACGGTTGACCGCCCGAGTCAGCGGTTTGCTGACCAAAATCAACGGTTTTTATGGAAAATCCGGTTTTTCCAGTCCAACTGTCCGGTCCAATCCGGTTTTGAAAACCATGGTATGCAGTATTTCTAAACATTTGGCTATTTGCACTGTACATATTTCTATTTGCACTCTTTCCAAAACTGAGCCTAACTTGTTCAAATTGGCAGCTAAAGCAAATATAGAAATTTTGTTCTTGCAGATACTTTGTTCTACATTATATAATATTGTAATTTTATTTCTTTATTGGTGTACAAACAATGCTAGTGCTTGGTCTAGAGTTGGAAAATTGTATAGCCACTGAGAACTTGAATTCAAGTTTAACTATCCATGTTTATTTGCTTTACTAGCTTGTTTGATGTTATAACCAAACCTAGCCTGAATGGAATGGAACTGACCTGACCTTGTAAACAACCATTACAAACTTTGCTCTGAACAATGATCATCAGCATAGTTGCCAAGCTGCCAAGGGAAAGCTAGGTGATAGGGAGTGCCGAGGCACCTAGGTGATGCATTTTTTTCAACAAAAAAACCTATATTCTAGGATAGCTCCCTAAGATTCATGGCAGCAAGCAATCATCTTAATCAAATAAGTATAAACTTCATATCAAAACATAGAAAATCAACATATTCATAAGAAGAAAGATGAGAAAGAAAGCAAAACTAAGAATTTATAATTATTATAGATAATAAAAATATTATATACCCACAAAATGAATAACTTAGTATAATAACGTGTGTTGTAATATTATAATCTCACAAAATATAAAAATAGAATATGGTGCCTTGTACAAAAACAACTAGGCTTTTGGATGAGGCAACCCTCCATGAGTGCCTTTCTCCTAGGTATCATCACCTTGACAACTATTATAATCAGTTTTGAACCATCACCAAGTCTTTTCTGAATACAGAGGGAAAAGCATCTATGGTTATAGAAAACATTGTTCTAAAGTTTTCAGATTCAATAGAGACAAAGCAACCACATTGCCAGTTGAAGTTGTAATTAATGGAGAAGTTTCTGACATTTTCTCCATTCTCTTTGGGACGGACATGTACCTGTATTAAAAATTTCTTGGGCAGGGGGTTTTCCATGTGCTGGAAGTATGACCCTGCCCTATGAAAAAGAATGAAACCCATGTGACAATCCAAATTAGCAAATTGTCAAAGTGAAATAGAGAACCCTCATATTCTATTTTCCACCACTTGTCAATAATGAATCATACTTCACATCTTCAAGAGTTCTGTATCATAGGGACACTTGCAACTTTTGTTCACATGAGTACTTATTCTGCAAGTTAAATATGGTGCAAGCTGTAAACAGTGATTTCAATTAGCTGAAACAGTTTATCTCCTCCAATAAATGAGTGATTAATTGCTTTGCTAATAATAGTTGAAGATGTCACAGATAAGCTTAGGGGCCTTGATTAACTGAAATGGTTAATATTTCTTGTATGAACAGCCTGAAGATGTTGCGGTAAATGATTCCAGATCTGATTTTCATGAACTTGGTGATCTTGGTGATCTTCATACAGTGAAAAGGCTAATCAACTCAGATTCCCAGACTTGCTCGGTTGAAGAAGGCAATGAACTTGGTGATCTTCATACAGTGCAGAATTTTGATTTATATTTGCCTGTGAAATCAGATATAGTGACAATGAATAATAATTCAGAAACCGTGAAGGTCCAAAGAACTGGTTGTGTCACTACTGGCAATACTGATTCAGGGTCACCCTTGAACTTGACAGGGTCACTTCACTGAAGATACAACAATCAAGTCAGAGGCAAAGGAGATGCAAGCATGTGGGACCACTGTTACTGACAACGATGATAATGTGAGATTGTCTTTAGAGTTGCGAGAATGGAAAAGTAAATCACAGTCCGAACAAATAATGGCCCAAGTATCTGCTCTTGTTCCTCCTTTAGAGTGCAATTTTGCCATGTTTTCACAGTCAGAAGGGAAGCAAAAACGACCCGGAATTCCTCCTTACCACCTGTCAAATCCTAGATATCCTGGTAAGAAGGTTAGGAGAACAGACCAGCCAATTCCCTCTGTGGCCGAAATGCTCAATTGTGTGGCACACAGTGGTAGCAAGATCAGCTTAAATCGACCGTCAATATCACAGGTTAAGAGAAGTAAGTGTGCAATTTTTCCACCCAGAGGAGAGGAAGAAGAACCTAATGCCAACACTGGGCCATTGTCTGTTCCTGGAGTTAATGACCCAAACTCATTGACGGTAAACCAGTTGAAGAAATATGCAAAGCATCAAGGATTAAAGCGCTATTCAAAACTGTCAAAAGCTAGTCTCATCGATTATCTCAGAAAAATGGGTTATCTGGGTTGATATACCATGTTCAGTTCATGCATTTTTGTTCTCCTCCTTGTCCTCTTTGCATCATACAGCGTCATACTCCTCTTGTAAAGTTGTAATGAATACATCAGGTATACCATATACAAGTGCTTATCAAATGTCCGATCTTTTCGGTCCTCTTAGACCATCCTTAGCTGTTGAATAAGTCAACTTCTATGATGCCGGAAGATGATGAATACATACCAAATTGAATTGTGTGAGTGTGTGTTTCTACGGGATACAAATTTGTAATTGACAAGTGAAAATGTCTAAATATTTGGATACGTTCTGTTGTCAATGGCGCATATTCTGGGGTTGCCAGAAGGACAGAGGTTTCATTTTGCTTCGCATATCCTGACTGGGTGCAAAATTTGTACCTAATTCAGTTTTGGCTTTTGTTTGTTTGTAATTATGACTCCATTCCTACCTGATAAAAAATTTACACATTTTGTCTCGTATGCACTCACTGACAATATAAATTTTCCATCCCAAAACTGATACAAAATTTGCACCACCTTCTCCCACTTCTATTCTTTCTCATAGAAAGTGGGGACTGCATCATCTTGTATCCTATCTTATGTTTTCTAGACAGATAACCCTCCTCTCCTACATTCCTTTTCATTTAAAGTGGAAATTACTTTATTATACTTCCTATTTTACTTTTCACAAATAAAAAAAAATCAAATATGAAACAAAAAATAAAGCAGAATTTTCACTAATCCTTTGCACTCTTATACATCCACATGAGTGCAAATGGAATTTGTAGTGCAACCAAACACAGCCATTGGAACATTGGATACTGAAGGGATGACAAAATGGCTGCAAATTAAAGCAATTGAATGATCTCTACAAATTAAACTCCTGAAGAGCTGGTTATTGACCTCATGGCTGGATGAAGTTGGAATACAGAGATGGTGCAGCCCCGTCCAACCTACCCGGAAGTCGGAACTGTTGGCAAAACGAAGGGACAAATTCTCTGGGTTTCGGATTCCATACTTCGAATCCATCTCTGTAACAGAAATCGATGGTGGATTGAGTCTATCTCAGCAACATAACAGAATTCGGCGGTGGAGTTGTATAACCGGATTTACATTTCCCGATGGGATGGTTGAACTAATGAATCCGGTTCTGCTCTTCACACCGACCTCACATCACTGGAGATGTTTCTAATACATATTGGGATGGAGACCGGATCTGCTCCTCACATGCGCTTCACACGCACATCCTACCATGGAACATCTCCCGTACTTATAAGTTATTATTCACAGTTCTATGATCCAGAAACACTTCATTAAGCCCATAATCAAGGATCTCATAAACAAGTAATTAATAAGATATGAATTAACACCTCGTTGGGTCCATAGCTCAGTGGTAGAGCATTTGACTGCAGATCAAGAGGTCACCGGTTCGAACCCGGTTGGGCCCTTAGAAGTTTTCAATATATTTTTTGTTTTTCCTCTTTTTTCGTGACTGGTCATTCAATCAACTCTGTCACATAAATGGGCCTCCAGTGTTGTCGGATCGGGTATAATGGTTAACATCAGAAACGATTATGATCGAGTGAATGAAGCCCCCTGACACACACAGAGGCCGTACTAATCTCAAGCTGTTTGGTTCGGAAACCATTGACCTTTCTTTTTCTTTTTATTCTGATTCCGCATGCACCAGAGTACTTCAACACGAGGACATCAGAAAGACACTTTCACGTTAATGGAACAACAAATCTCTGTACTAAAACGTACAGAATTGATTGGGTTTCCTTGGAAGGAAGATTCTCTGATCACCTTCTCTTTTTCAGTTTCTCTGAACTGCTGCTCCGCTACTTGCTACAGCGTATTAACACCTTATTAATATGGTTTCAGAACCCACAGTGGACTCATGGACTGAGTGCTGATGCAGAGCAGCAGCAGCAGCAGCAGAAGCAGAGAGAGAGAGAAGGTGATTGACAAAAACAAGGTATGTGAGATTGTTTTTCATCTCTAAGATTTGCCAAGTTAATTTTGTGATTGGCTTATATTTTGGTGCATGATTTGCGTAGATAAACCACCAGTTCTGGGTTGGCCGGTGGAATACTTCAGATAGACATGTCTTCAGACCTTACTTGAAATTGGCAACCCAGACTGGTCCCGAGCTCCAGACTAGACCTCATGGTGGTTTGACCACTGGTAACCAAGAGGACATCTGGTTGCTTAATCTGGCCAAACCACTCGCTTCATTTATGCATTTCCTAGCTGTGGGTCAGGCCATTTATATCGAGAGTCGAGACCCGACCATGTGTGTATGAAGTAAATAGCTAGGCAGCAGAAGTTCTGCAAATAGGACCAACTTGACTTGGGTTGAGTTGAATCTTTGTATGCTCTCATGTGTTAAAACCTAACCCAAACCTTAATTAAGATTCTCAACTGTAATTCAACCGCAACCATGAAATTGGGTTGGTCGGGTTAGATTTGGGTTAAACCCATATAATAGCAACATTATACAGTCATTCTATACCTCGTTTCTCCCTTTCCTCTAACATAAATATAATTATATGTATATAAATCATTACATAGATTATATACAATATACACTTCTCCAATTATAAGTGTATTGATCCATGACCATAAGGCTTTGATGATGATTTATAAGTGTATTGATACATCAGGGTTAGGTTGGGCTTGTGAAGGAATCATTCCTCTAAGAGCTTGAGGTCCTTAGATAAGTTTTTATTCTCTGACACGCCTTCTGCGCAAGAGCCTATTAGGCTTGAAGTTTAAACAAACATAAGCCCACTTATACCTTTTACTGAATTTTAATTAATTATAATGTGGGCAAGGGGAGATTGAAGATCACTTTATCAAACAAACTCTGATACCATGTCAAGTAATCATTCAACCTAAAAGCTTTAGGATTTTATATTAATCCAACTTGCTGATTCTATTCTAATTTTTTTGGGGTTTTGGGATTGGCTTCACCTCAGATGCATCTCTAGGCAGGAGAAATAATTACACAGACCAAATTTGGCCGTAGAATACTAGAATTTCCTGACCTCGAAGGAGCATGGCTTGGTCTAATTAGAAAACTAAAAGTACACAAATCTCAAGCTTTAGAGGTGCTGAAATCACCGGTCTAATTCACCAACAAAAATGTCATCTTATATCTACTATTTTACCAATCCGTTTCATTTAATACCAGTTAACAGGAAGTACCCAAACAGGTTTCAGCACTCTGGTCCAACCAGGTCTGACTGGCATTTTTCACTCTCAAAGACCAGGTCATTGGATCTGGCTCACCCATAATCCAACTAATGTTAAAACTCAAAAGAGAAGTAACAAGCAGATCAGGTACGTATGAATCCCATGTCGATGGGTCCTAAACATCACATCACTGGATCACAATACCATGTAGGCATGTAAAAAACTTAAAGCCATCTAATCCCTTGAACCCGCACCGACAAACAGGGGCAGTACTGTATGAACCATGAAGAACAAATTGGTTTTTCCATAATTTCAAAGGATATACCCTTCTCTAACTATATATATACAACTAAACTGAACTCTTCTGAGTCTTTTGTTTCAGGATTTCACTAGGTTGGAACCCGGAACACTGCAATGGAGGGCAAAATCTCAACCTCAATAGATCTTCCACTTCCACTTCCAGGTCTCTCTCTCTCTCTCTCTCTCATACACACACACACAAACTTAGTCTGATTAAAAATAAGCGCAATGCTTAACATTGTCCAGGAAGAGGGGTGGTTTCCACGAAATACTCCATTATCTCAGAAGGGGTGGTAACATGGGGCCAGGTGTTTGCCACGTCACCGTTCCTTAATCCTCTATGCATGTGATATGTTCTACCCAAGGGCCTCATTGCCAGGTGGCAAAGGAGGAAAGCTGTTTTGGCATTTTCTTTTTTCTTCTTCTTAACTTTGGATCTTCAATTCCTTTGGTCTTTGATAGTAGAAAGCACTACTGTTAACTCTCAAGAGGAACACTTGATTTTGGTGTCCTAGAAGAATTTGGCCAGGATCTAAGTCTATCAAGCCACACACACTCACACAGGATCAAGCTTTACTTTGCAAAAAGACATGCTATTTAAGCCAAAACATAGCTTTCTGCTTAAACCCATTTAACCCCAGAACTAGCTTGAGTCTTATCCAACAATTCCAACCCAACTAAACCAAAATCTTGTCTCACTTCTTCAACCCATGTCCTGTATTTGACTTTTCCATGTCTTTTCGTATGCATGTTAAATAGTCCCAATGTTCCCTTTATGATGTGATCCTAAGCAATGAAGTATGGAACTTTTGAGGCTCTGCTTTTATCTTAATTACCCGGGTACTAACTGTCCAACCCAATTATGATCAGTACCCAGAATATCATAGAGATATGAGCAGTCCATGTGCTGGCCCAGACAGTCATTTTCCATTAGTAATCTCAGCTACCAAAGGGGTTTTATTGTTGACAAATGACAACTGACTGATAACAGTTCTGCTTGCTTTAGTGCTACTGTCATCACTACTGTTTCCATGTTAGAACTGTTATCTTGTTCTCTTGGCCTCTTTGACAAACTAGTAATGCTACATACAAATCTCTGCTAGGAAATTCGAACAGAAAGTTGTCCGAGTTGGAAAGGCTACAGAAACAGTTGGAGGACAAGGAAACCATGATTGAAGATCTGAAGCGTGAAGTTGAATCAATGGAACTTCGTTTAAGGGATAGCATGCAAGAAATCCCTGAGGCAAAGAAGGTGGCTTTCAGAACCCTGAAAGAGCAATATAACAGGCTTCACAATGAGTATAATGCATTATTGGCTGAAAATTTTGAGAAACCAGAAGAATAGTTGTTTTGGTCAAATGTCTCTATGTTTGTGTTTGAGGGAAAGAGTGTCAATTCATAGACATTTAGCTTTCTTCTTCATTGAGATCATGGCTACATAATTCAGGGTGTAGTGTGGTAATGCAATGTGATCTTGAGTTTGTCTGGTTTGTTCATTGATTCCTTCCTAATGATTAATACACAATTAGGCTCAGTTTAGGAGTACTAATACAAATATGTACAGTGCAAACACATACAAAATACATGGTTTTGCACTCTACAAATTTGTATTTGTACTCTTTCCAAACTGAGCCAACACATCACCTCCCATCGTTGATATGGAATATTGCCATTCATAACAGGAATTATTTAGCCATGTGTGACCCACCGATAAGAATTTCTTTAAATCCAAAGTTCAAACTAGTTAATAGGGGTGATCGTGGGCCGGGCTAATGTATGCGTGCCGCACCGGGCCTCAAGGCTAGGTTGCCCAGAAATGGTCAGTCCCTACCTGTACTAGTTTGGGCCGGCCTAGTATGTCAGACTTGAATCATTTAGGCTGGTCTTTACCCCCCTTCCCAAAGAATCATTTAGGGTGGGCTAGGACACTAAATTAGGTTTGATTTGTAATTAAAAAACAATCTTTATGGGGCCTAGAATTAGTAGACTGATGGGATTTGATTTGTGATGAGAAGGGTATGAACCAAATAATATGGTTAGAGCTGGAGTAGGACCCATGCTACTTCACATATATTTTTATTTTGCCTTTCGGGGGGAGACCAGATCTGCTCCTCACACCTGGCACCTCATGCGCACATCCTACCATGCATTGGGAACATCTCCCGTACTTATTAGTTATTATTTATGGGAGATATTCCCAATGCATGATGAATGTGCCTGTGAGGCGCCCATTTGTGAGGAGCAGATGCCGGCTCCTTTTGGGGGGCTAGACATGAGGACATTGCTTGATGGAATCCTCCTCATAGAAACATGATCCCGGACATTGCTTGATGGAATCCTCCTTTAGGGAAGGTTGAGAAATGGAAGAATGATTAAAATATGCACGAATATCTTAGGATACTGATTTAAATTTCAATTCATTAACACTTAAAAATATTAATTTTAAAGTGATTAAATTTGGGTTAATAGTTAAAACTCAAAACCCATGTAATGTTAACATTTATAGTGCAATGTTATGATGAGATTTTTGTTTCTTATGTGGGTGACCCGGATTTATATTTTTTACACATCAGTATCATACAAAAAAGTTAAAGATGCATAGGCTTAGAGATTTGAATTTAAAGATGTGACGACAGGAAATAATTAATGAATTAGAGCGTAGAGGGGATGTGGTTAACACAGTGTAAATCAAAGATCCATATGCCCGATATTCAAAGTTGGGTATTAGTAGTGTATATCGATATAGCCGATGTTTCATTTCTTTATTTTATAAGGACTATAGGATACATACTTTTAAAAGTTGTATGCATCAAATATTATATTTGAATTTATATATATAATAAATTTAGTATCATATATTTATATTATATAAAATTTGAAAAGTAATTAAATTTTTAATTTTTTTGGTGAAGGGAGGACTTGATTTCAGGTCTTTACTGCAATCAGGTAGAGATTTCACCGGCAAGTTAATTTGCCTTCAACCATTATACATGTCTAGGGGTGGATTCGAGCCGAGCCGAGCTGAATAGTACGAGGCTCGAGCTCCGCTCGTCTAGGAAGTACAAGGCTTGAGCTCGAGCTTGATTTGAGAAAAATATTTTATAAAAATAAAAATAATATATAAAAACATTTTTTTATTTGATATTTAAAAAATTAAGAATTATAATATTTTATTTTGTATATATATATTCAAGCTCGACTCGAAGCTCAGTTAAAACAAGTTTTCAAGCTTGGGTTAGGTTTTAAACCTGTTACAAATTTAAGTTTGCAATCATGGTTCAAAGTATTAATACATTCCATACTCTTATTATTTTTTTTTTCTTTTTTAAGTAAGAGAGTGTTTTCAGGACAATACGTAGCACGGGTATGTTACAATATTTTGAACCTTGTTTTCAATTCAACCCAACCCATGTTAGACTGCTAATGTTAAATTGTTAATGATTATGGAATTAGGTATTTTACTGCATGTTTGACTAATACCTCAAAAGCTTTAAGATTATTGGAATGCATCAAACCAAGCCCTTTAACATTTAGACCATAGCCTATTACCATGCTTTTGCACCTGACATTTAGGCAACTTCATATTTAGGTAGCTTTGTGGCAGACCATGCCCCTCTAACATTTAAGACCGTAAAATACTCCAATCCCATTGTCCTGTATCCGAACGTTTAGGCTCTTGGCATGAGACGGACAGGGCTGATACTTTGAATCTTCTTGACAAGCCAAACGGGGGAACAAAGCTAAATCACTTCATTCGTTCTGGTCCAAAAAAGGAATAAAAAAGGAAGTTCTAGGCCAACCATCTCCACACCTTTGTCCAGTCGGTATCGCAAACAAAAAGACAGGTAATGTTCTAGATCTTAATCTTGCAGTGATTTGTGGAGGTCTGGCCTGGACTGGAACCGCCAAGTTTTCCGGCACATTCTTCTCCTCCGAACGTATGCTGATTGTTCGACGAAATTCTTCACCCAAAAGCTTGTTCTTATTTGCAGGTTTTTATCATGACGAAACTATCCAGTGCCCAGAAATTTCTGAAGAAAATAGGGTTGGGGAAGGAGGATTACTACTTCTGGAAACAAATTGGGAAAGCTCTACTCTGTACCTACACAGTCTTCGGTGTGGCTTGGTTGTGGAATGAAACATCTCCACTCGGTTGGTGGACGCTGAAGCCTCGACCCAAGGAAGAGAAAGAGATGGCCCACCTATACGAGCGTCGCAGGTTCCCATATCCAGGCGACAAAGAGGCAGTGGAAGAGTTCATTGCGGGTGGGGGTGCACTTGGCACCACCATTGGTCCAAAAGGGTTTATTGAATCGAGCAAGGACTCCGACAATTTCCAGAAGAAATTACAATCAAAGAAGTTCGAGCAAGAAGCCCTGAAGCTATGGATGAGGATGAAGAACGAAGTCATTTCGGAGCTTCAGGAGAAAGGGTACGACGTTGAGTGACCGTCTGCATTACCCTCTATCTGAAATGAAAGCTGTTAATTAGACTGCTATTGTTACTATCTTGTCCAGTCTCACTAGCATGTAATCAAATTATTTGGACGACAAAGAACCAGTTACCTGGAATCAAAGTTCACTTGTTACTTGTTGGGGTTGTTTGGGTAGTCTGAAATTTGGTTCTCGTTGTTACTTGCAGGAATCCAAGTTCTGGTCGTCCCTACTCCTAAGAGTTAAGACAGATGTGAAGTGGGAAATAGGAAGCAATAAATAAGGTTGCTGGTAAGGTCCTGGTTGTTATCAGAGACTTGGGATCGAATCCCACCTTTGCCGGAGGTAGGGGGTCTTGGGGTTGCTTTAAGGAGGTTTTTGCAGAGGTTAAACTACAGTATTTAACCCAAAAGCAAATAAATACAGAGAGAAAAGGAGAAGGAAAAACAAACAGCCTATCGGCTATCACCCCCTGGCAATTATATACTCAAACAATGGCAAGCTAAACAACATTGAATATGTTAAAATCTCATGATTTAATGCATTAATGTTTAAGGATTGAACAAATATTTGTAATTTCTGTGGGAATGCTAATCAAACTATCAAGTGTCAATGCCATTATGTAACTACAGCTAGTGCATTGGTCTCTCCAATCTTGCAGTCTGCCTCCGTCAGTGACCGAACCAGATGGATTATTCGATACTGGAGCTTTGTATTTTCAGCTGTAAGCTTTTCTATCTCCCTTGCAGCCTACACATTATGAAGAAAGGTTAATTTTCTTCATGGTAGTATGCAGAAAGGTTAACCTTGCAGCCCCACCTCTCGCCCTGATATTGCTCTGCTTTTACATCTTCTAACCTTGACTGGAGTTCACTTACAAGCTTTGATAGTTATTCATTTCCAACATCTGGACCAAATAACAAAACTAAATAAGCCTGTTTTTATTTGCCAAGACAGAATTTAGTTGCATGAATGGGCTTGGGGCTTACCTCTCTGATCTTGACACCTTTTCAATTCTTGCTACACGTTGCTTTAGTGAAAACAAAATACTAGTCTGACAGGAGATGGGGCTCATTTTCTCTATAGAGAAATTGATACAGCTAATGGAAAAGAAAACTGATGCAACTGTTGTGTTAGCCACATTAATTGCATGGTCTTCACTGGAAAAGTTGCATGCATGCTTAACCAAACTCATTTAACCACATTTGAGTCCGGATCTGTTCCTCACAGAGCGTGCCTCACACTGACCTCACAGCATGTCCTGGCCATACATCGGGAACATCTCCCATACTTGTATTTATTATTCATGGGGAGATGTTCCCAATACAGGGTGGAATGTGGTTGTGAGGTCGGTGTGAGGCAGTGAGGAGCAGATACCAATTCCACATTTACGTTATTATTAGCAGAAAACAAACCTACCTGAAAATTGCAAACTAGATATCAGCAGAGCAGAGCTCCTCCTAAAGAGTTGGTAAATATTTACGTTATTACAAACTAGATATCCCAATCACAAGATGCATTAAGAACCTATTTTTTTGGTAAATAATGCACTAAGAACCTCACTGTGGAAGTATAATTACTCTTAACAAAAAATTCGATTACCCCACTTGCAAAATAACTAACTGATACACTCCATGGTTTGACCACAATCAAATTTCTTTACAATTATGATGTAACATGGCAAAAATTAAGAAGGGAAGCTCAGTTTTGTACTGAAAAATAAAATGCAATATGAATGCAAAAGAAAAATTGGCAATGTCTTCCTCCTTTTTTCCCCTTAATAAATTTTCTTTTTATTTATTACCGAAAAACAAAAGAAAGTTAGTAATGGACTAATTGATGGTGTTAAAACAATATAATTTATAGTATGAGCAAAATATTAAGTTAAACCCGCATTATAGAAAATCTCCACCATTAAATGGCAATGCATGAGCAACCACTTGTACGAATAAAATAAGGAAGTTTTAAATGAAACATTTGATTGTTTACTTGCTACATCTCCTAGCTCATCAAAGCAAAATAAAGGTTCAAATAGTGGATCAGCTGAGAAAAAGCAACCTCTAATAAGAGTGACAGAGTCAGAAATTAAAGCCACTGCGACATTGTTTGGAGCATATTTTGCAACTCCAAGCCAATTGAAGCAAAATAAAAGTTCAAGTAGTGAACATACGAGAAAATTATGCATGGAAGGTCATAAGCCACTAGAACATTGCTTGGAGCCTATCTTACAACAGATGGAAGGTCATAAACATCAAAGTATTTATTGATCACATGAACCATTAAGGCCTTGTACGGTTCATGAAATGTTAAGTCCAGTTCAAGAAGTAAGGTCAGATTTCCCCAAGTCCAGACTTCCTACCCATGACAACGCTGCCCACATCTACCCACATAAAATTGCAGTCACACATAGGGAACACCTCATCCCCTTACATGTTATTATGCACAAGGAGATGTTCCCAATGCACGGAGGTAGTGTTTTGTGGGCAGGCATGGGTAGAGTTTTTGTGGGCAGGAGATCCAGAGTCGATTTCCCTTTCTTCCCTTTAGTAAACTTAATCTTTAGTTTTTCTTTCTTTTTTTAATCAGTTATCTTTAGATAAAACTCTCTATTTTTCAATTTAGCTAAAACTAGTCCAGGCAGTAGCTGTTTTTATTCAGATCTTTTTTACCATTTTGAACCTATTAAAAAGCCAGTCTATTATATATATGTTTTTTGATCAATAAGCCAGTCTATTGTATTCAAAATCCAATAACCCTCTTCACGTTGTAGCCCCTTCAGATTTCAAGTGTCATCAAGAAAGTCCAGCAAGAATAAGTTGGTTATCCATTTTAACCCTAACAATCTCTGCAGAGTTGATTTGCATGACTCCTAAAATAGTCTAGCTTGTCCTATGTAATTACAAGTAAGAACAGGTTTCGCAAAAATGAATATAATTGTTGTCATTATCCAACTAGTGTTAACTGTATCATTGTGCAATATAAATCATTACATAAAGGAGAGCTTAAAAGACAAGTAAAAGGACAATTATGCAGCATGAAACTTGAGAAAGATTGGCAAGACAAAATGGAAACAAAGAGCATGAAACCCTGAATATGCCAATAGAAAATCTGTCAAAACAGGTAAGTTGCCTAGTTAGCAGAATGAATCCAATATAGTCTAATAAAATATACAATTTATGCTTCAAACTATCTTTAGACATCACGATAAATAGTCATGCATATAGAAGAATTGTAGAAAACATCAGAATCTGAAGGGGAAAAGCATATGCTGATATTTGGCATCATTGGGCAACCATGCATCTGGAGGGTATGGGAGTCCACACTTGATCTTAGCTAAAAGGCTGAGAAAAGTAGGGGAGGCTACTTCTAGGACTTGTCCCTTAAAATGTACCTTCCTTTTTTTTTAAGTTTCTTTCTCTTATGTTGCCTTTTCTTTCCCCACAACCTTCAACCTATCTATACTTCCATAGTTTGCAAAACAAGCAGAGTTCTTTCAGGGAGTCATCAGGGAAAGAGGTTGTTGTGAATCTTTGACTGCAATGTACTACGGAAATTTGTTTCAGTAGCAAAAGGAGAAGATCTCAATCCTAAGTTATTTCTGGTCAAGTGACTTATGAGACACAATCAACAAAAGAACACCATGAAATACATGTTGAGAGTTGAGAGATAACACTCTTGGAACTGTCATAATTGATTGTTTGTTAGCTCTGCATGCAAGTCTTAGAACATAGAAATGAAGGAATGAATGGCATTTCTTACATTTTCAATTTTGCATTGAATTAGCCTAAATTAGGCTGAAACTTCTAGTCAGAACTCAAAAAGAAACGAGATAGGAAAAAATAAATTTCTATTCCTCAAAATTGTTCATCAATATTAGTACAAAAGAAAATGCCCCCAATAACATGGTCGCAAAAATTTGTTTTCTAGGGTTTGCACTAGAATGAAAGTGGTACTGGAAATCCTGCAACAAACTAATGCATAACAGCCTTGTTTTATTATGTTTCTTAAAGCTGTTAATCTTGAAACTCAAAGTAGGGAAGACGAAAATCAGTTGGAGTACATTCACTTACCACTTAGGCATGAACATGAGCATACCCCTGGATCTCCCTTGTCACCATTTCCCAGCTTTTGTTAGTGTATATTCCGTTTATCCCTTTTTCTTTGATAAGAAACAACATTTTAATTGTTAATTGAATTAAAAAGAAGAATGTAAGCATAAAAGAAAGGACAAAAGGTATAAGGTACACAGATATGACAAAAAGAAAGGACATCTAAATGCTTTAAATTGTTTCTTACCATGTAGGCAAGAAAAGCCATTAGTTAGCAGCAAAGTTGGTGAAGACGGAATTGAAAATACAAGTTGTGTTAAGTATATCGATAAGTCAATAACCTCATGCGCTAAGCAAACTGGCATCCTTATTGGGTTAAATAGATATTGGTAGTTCAATTTCCTGCTTCCTTTGTTGTTTGTATTGGCTATTTTATTTGGAAGGAAACTGATGAGGGGTGATTTGGCCCGACCTAGTAAACAGTGGACACATGAATGTGACCTGATGACTGGACATCAACTCAGCACTTTTTGCCACCTCAGTAGGACAGGTCACCTCGGCTAGGACTGAAGTCCAAGCAGCTCGTGGTGCTCCAAACTACCGAGGTGACACGTAGCCAATTTCTAGAAGCATGCAAGCTGTCTCCGAGCTCTTCGGGATCACGCCACATGACTGTGGGTCTTATCCTCATCCCACCCCGGACAGACACGATAAGCCTTATCGACTAGCACGATATCCACCTCCCAGTGCAGAACAGACTTCTATAAGTGCAAGCCGAGGATCTCAGAGGTATTTCGTGAAACCCACGATAACTCACCTTTATTAGGGCATCTACCCCAATGGTACAAGGTACGCATGATGTAATGCTTACTAGCTCTCATAATCTCAAGCTTTCAGTTCACACACAATCAGTTACTAAACACGCCGGGTTAGCCACCCCGGGTTCTCTGATCCTTCCTGTCTTACGGTTCAACCGGTCAGCTAGGCAACCTACGTCCAAACTGCCATCCAGATAGAGCAACCGGATCATGCACCACCATAATAAACTAATAAGGCAACAACAAAAAATCTATTTGGACACAACTGGGCAACTTCCACTCTTTTTACAAAAACAAGCGACTTTCTAACATGAAGTCATGAACAAGAAAAGAAAAAGCAGCTTTGCATTACATAAGAAAAAAAAATATTTTCCAAAACAGTTGCCAACACTATAATAAAGTTTTCTTCCAAGAAGACCTAGTAGAAACATTTCCGCTTTGCCCCGTTATGATCAGAACAACCAAAATTTTTCTCGTTTTCTAGATTTTTTTGTCTATCGTGTTGCGTAAAATACAAATCCTAGTCTCCAGCGACATGAACAACCACTACTCCATCTCCAGTGGTTCAGTCAATCATTCTGTCACCAAGTTAAAAAAAAATAGGAAAATGAAATACAAATAATCCACTTGTTGCAGAAAACGCTACTTGTGGGTCTTTAGACGCAAATTCAACAACAAAACAAAACCCCAAAAGTACAAACAGAAAATAATAATATCCATAAAAGAAAAACAAGGGACTAGACCGAAGATTGAATTCTCTAACCTCAGCTTCTGAGCACCTCTAATGAAATGGTTTCAATTCAATAACTCCTTCAAACCGTTCGGTTTCTCGGTTTCCGCCATCGTCGATGCCCTTGAAACCTTTGGACCAGATTATCCTTTTAAAGTGTGGTCAAAGCCCGGCCCATTTGGATAAAAAATGCGGCCCATTAACATAATTGAATCCGTCCACGTCATCGAGAACGAGATGCGAACACGTTAGCGGAATGCGGGAAACGATAGCACTGGATAAAATATGAAACAACGACAAAGCAAAACAATGGTGGAGGGAAGAAGCGGTGGAAGAGAAAGCGAGAGATATGGCGCGAGCTCCCCTTCATTTGAAGTTAAATCGGAGTATCGTCGCCTATGCAAAGGAGACTGAACCAAGGGTTCATCTACCAAACAAGACTCCTCTGAATTCTCGGGTTTTGGTTCTCGGAGGAACTGGAAGAGTTGGCGGATCTACTGCTACAGCTCTTTCTAAACTCTGTCCTGATCTCCGAATCGTTGTCGGAGGTAGAAATAGGTGATTCTGAGAAATCCTAGTGGTTTTCTTTACTTTCTCAAAATGCATTCTGTTTCTTGTACAAATATGGTTGGTGTATGTTGTTAATAATCTGAAATTGTAATTAGCATAGGTTTGGCAATAGAAGTGTTGGTGATTACATGAAATGTTGGTGGAATCAAAATTAACTCTTAGAATTTAAGGTGACTGATGTAATTCTGTCCTAAGATTGAAAAATCTACTTCAGCGAGCTATTTTTCTCTGCAATTAGTGCAACAGAACTGGTCAACAAAGAAATAGATGTATAAAAGTTCCAAGTTGAATAATGTCAGTACCCCTTGCTATTCTGAAACTTATCTGACTTATTTCCTTCGTTTTTTCATTATTTGTTTGCTTGTCTATTTTTTCAGTTAGAAGGTGCGGAATCATGAATTGAGACTGGGCGCATGATATGATACTCGATTTTGTGTTTCGACACTATAAGGAGAAACTTGTGTTTTATTGGTCACTGATAGGACAAAAAGATATTGTTGGACATTCCGTTTGGTTGGATGCGGGTATTCCACTTTAAGATCTAAACTCAGATAAAATATGGAACTAGTCAAGTGAAACATATCCACTGTTAGGTTGTTATACTGAATGCTACAGGATCATGAGGGGGGGGAGGGGGGGGGCGATAAATTGTTCATGTATCGACTTAATTAATTGTTCAGTTTCATTGAGATTGTTTTTCTTCCTCTCCACATGCATGACCCATTTATTATTAAGTACTGTGCAGTTTGATTGTGGTTTGTATTGATTTTTATGACTGCTGGAAGAAGAAATAAAAGATGCTGTTAAGTTAAACTTAGATGATTATCATAAATTGCCACCCTCAGTGAGTTCTGTTCTGATATTGAGTTCACTAATGATTGTTTAAATTTTAAATAAATAAAAATATAATTCAATATTAATTCAGAATTTTCTTTCCATTATCCAAATGCATAAGTTGTGTCTCTTGATAGGGAGAAAGGTGCTGCTCTAGTGGCTATGCTTGGTGAAAGCTCTGAGTTTGCAGAAGTCAATATCGACAATATAAAATCATTGGAAGCAGCTTTAAAAGGTACATGAATTTTTCTAGTAATCTTGGATTTTCAACAATCAACATAAATATCTTATAGCCTAAAGCTCTAAATCCCATATTCTTTACTTCGGCGAGAAAATTTTCAGTGAGATTTCTTTCCTTGGTTCAGTTGGTTGGAGTATATTATTTATTTTTTTGGCATCTATTAGGAACAAATCATTGGTACTATATTTCCTGATTTTGACAACTACATGTACACATTTTTTTTTTCTTTTGTAACACCGCTGTACATACATGGGATCTGGTTTTCAGGACTACCATGTCTGTTATGTTTTCTCCAAGTTACCTTTTTTGTTTTCAAAATAATAAAAAAAAGGATGTAATTTCTTTAGTCAACATTGTCAGTTTTTCTGTCAATACAGGTTCTTGGGTGAGAGGTTTATCTAATAAACTAAGCCCATCTGTTATCTCTAGCTCAGGATTGCCCAAGACGTGTTTCATGTGTCACCAGTTTTACATTGCTACTATCTTCTCTTTTTTTTTTCTCTTTATAGAAATACTTCTTAGTTCTTCCATTGGCCCTCTGAATCTAAATCCCATCTGTTGAAGGGTTTCAAGTGTTGATTCTGGATGTTCTTTATCAGTTTCTTATGGTGAAATTATGATAAACATTTTAATTTGGAAATGCCAGAATATTATCTATGTTGAAATTTAGATAAGTTGGGGATTAATGAAAATGGTTGCTAAGACTTCCCAAAAGAAGAATGGGAAAAGGGGGGAGTCCTAAGAGCATGTCTTTTAGTTCACCACACCCTTTCTACTGCAGATGTGGATCTTGTAATTCATGCAGCAGGACCCTTTCAGCAGACGGAGACATGCACTGTACTAGAAGCTGCCATATCTACCAAGGTAAACATTGGACTTTCAATTTCCTGCTCACTTGAAAGAGTTAATTTATTTATGGTATTATTTTATTGCCCATTGTTATGTCCTGTAAGGGCCATTGCTTGGTGCTATGGTAAAATCTCAGGCTGACAAGCTTGAGAACTTGGGTTAGAGTCTAAGAACAGCCACTTTGTGCAAGAAAATGCCAAAGGTTAGGTCTGTATCCAGTTCACCCCTCATAAGACCCTAGGTAGCTGGGAACAACGTTGGGTAATTGCTAATTGTCATGTCTTGTCTTGTATTTACATCTCATGTGTATAACCATGTTCTAATGCATGCTCTCTTTCTAAAACAGACAGCATATGTGGATGTCTGTGATGATACAAGCTATGCATGGCGAGCAAAATCTTTTCACAAGAAAGCAGTAGCTGCCAACATTCCAGCCATAACAACTGCTGGAATTTACCCTGGAGTGAGCAATGGTGCTACTATATACATTCATGATCAGTCTGCACTTCACGCTCACACAAAAATACATGCAACACATTCAGAAGAAGATAAAATTAACTGTTCTCTCTCTTTGTTGTGAGAACTTTAGGCATTGCATGCACATTAACTTTTAGAATTCAAATGTCTGTTATGAATGACATGGATTGTTATATCAACTTCAAAAACCAATTGAGTAACATCTGTCAGAAGACCTTTTAGGTATTTAATCTTTAACGTCATTTTCATAAAAGATTGTGAATATAATACCGAATCCATTTTAATCACGTAACTGTTCTCTCCCTAACCTTGTTTCTCTTCAATTTTCTGAATTTTAAGTGTTACTAGGAAACAAAAACTCCTTTGTTTTCTGTTTTTTCTTTCTTTTCTGAAAAATTATGTTTAACATTCTCTGAATATTTCTGAAGTCTTAATTCTTCCCATTATCATGACAGTGATGGCAGCTGAATTGGTTCGTGCTTCTAGAGGTGATGGTAGAGGTGAGCCTGAAAGGCTAAGGTAACTTTACTAAACCCCTTATAAGTTTGTTTTCTATGCTTTTAAAATTTAGAGAAAAAGCTCAACTTCAAACACTCAGCCGAACCAATCAGCAAGAACTTAAAGATCATCCCTAGATAGTGGCATTTAGCAAACTAACCTAGACTCTAATTGGACAATATTTTGATCATGGTTGAAATTCAATCGATGTTATTTTTTTATTTACAATACAATCACTTAATTGGCTCTTTCCCACCCACTTTCTAGTTGTATCGCCTTTCCAGTTTTTTTTTCTCTTTTTTGGATTGGTATGCTTCCCATTGGATTTCTCATTTCAATCCCAATAAAATGTCCATACTTCTAAAAGAAACAAAGAAAACAAACTCTAAATCTGAGTTCTACTGTTGTGTGTGTGTTTTGGGGGAGGGGCATCCAGGACTCCTTTTTATTGAGTTGATATTGATGAGATGTACATGATCTTCATATGTGATATTTTTTACTTTCTTTATCTCTTCCTTTTTTTTTCCCAGGGGGTGTCAGGTGTTTGGCTGGGGGTGCTTGCCATTTTGTTAGATAAAGGTATCCCATAGTAGTCTTGACAGGAATTAAAAAAAAAAAAAAATCCAAGTTTTAATTTTACTCCAACTTCAATACCACTGGCTGGTGGCTGATCTGTAGTACCAATAGATGACCATTTAAAGGTATTATGTAAACATTATAAGACCTCGTTTGCAGTGTTTGGCAGGTTATTGTAACCAGGATTTTGTCTTAGATCACTAGTCAATTCATTTGGCTTGGAAAAGAGCTAAAAGCAGCTCCTGCATCACATGTATTGTTGGGTCTTCAACAGAAACAACAAGAATAAAGAGGAACAAATTGATCTTACTAACAGAGGCAAAGTGATGATAGAGGCCTTAATTATTTAGATAAAATACAGGGACTCTTAATTATTCATGCTTAGGTTTCACTGAACAATAAAAAAAGGCCATTACCCATTGTTAGCTGGGGTCTTGGGAGGGGTAGACTGGTTATGGTCAAATCTGCATTCTCATGATGGAAGCCCAAGATTTTTCCATTAAACAAGTAATAGGTTTTACTGAATAATGTAAAAAATTAATTTTGCTTTTATGAATTCAACTAGACATTGTAAAGATGCTCTATAATCATATCCATTTCCAAGCATATTTAACTGACTATAATGCTAATTTACCTTCTTCAGATTTTTCTACTACACAGCAGGTTCTGGTGGTGCCGGCCCAACAATTTTAGCAACCAGCTTTTTGCTTCTTGGAGAAGATGTGATTGCCTACAATAAAGGTTAGTTATTTACATTGTTCTCTCATCAAGTTTTTTTTGGTTCTGAACAAGGTTTGATCTTTTACTGTGATTCCTCTCTCTCTTATTGATCTTTTGACCAGGAGAAAAAATCAAATTAAAGCCTTATAGTGGAATGCTCACCATTGACTTTGGAAAAGGGATTGGAAAGAGAGATGTTTATTTGTTGTAAGTTCCATGAACAAGAATAGAATAAAAAGAAATCAAGGATTCTCAAAATCATAAAATGCATTTTCATGAGTATATTTCTCATGTAATAAGAGGAACTTTCTTCTTTTTACATGGGTGTATTTACCAAGGGAGACTGCAGTTTTGAAGGAGTTCTCAACATTTTTTTGGATCCTCTAGAGCAGTTATATTAACTTAGTCCATGGATTTCTATCCAACTTTACATATAAATAGTACTTTTAATCTTTTATCAAAATCCTTATTCGACATACTAGTCAAGAATTGTCTTTTCATTTCGTAGCATACCAAACCCATAATGTGCACGTTAATGTTATCAAGTCAACCTAAAACAACATTTCAATTTTCAAGACCGGTGTTTATTAAGTTGTTAGCTACAGAACAGATACCCACTTGTGTTTGTCCCTCTAGCATAATTGGTTGATGCATGACATCATACTTGAAGTTTCATGATTTAGTTCACCTTACATAACTAACCACCAAAAAGGAAAAAAAAAAAAAAACAAGAAAAACAAACTAAAAAACAATAACATTAAAACATAAGCCTAAAAAACAGAAATAGGACAGTTTAGAAAAAAAAAAATATGATCGCTTAACATTATCAAGGGCAGTTGTTTGCTATTGTTCATTTTTTCTAATGCTAGCATACAAATAAAAGAAATTTCCAATGTACATTAATGAATTGTAATCTCCATCTTTCCTATCATTTTTCTCCCCTACCCCCCCTCCCCAAGAAAAGAAAATAATAATAAAAAAGGTACTAGTGAATATGGTTAACATATTTGTGCATGTATTCAACCTTGTTTTCTAAGACATTATTTTGTTTCTCCAGTACTGTCAAGAATTTCAAACGCCATCATGTCTTCTTTTCCTCTTATACAATGTAACAAAAAGATAAGGAAGAAAAATGCAATCCATCAAAAAAAAAAAAAGAGATAAGGAATGAAAAATGAAGAGCTGTGAAGTTTTGGCTAATAAAGTGGTAATGAGAATGGCAATCTACTGTTCCACTCTTAAACTTTGTAAGGCTGATGCACCAAATGCCACTGGGACCTTTATCGTTCTGTTTAGACCATTTTTAATGGAGGCAAAGAGCTAAAGTGGCTTGGCTGAAAGAGGGGGACACTGAGACTGATATGAAGCTAGTGGCAACTAGCTTCTATAAAAAGTTGTACAAGGAGTCTTGGTCCTTCAGACATTTTCCTATATCCCTTTCTTTTAATCAGTTGAGTGATGAGCAGTCATCCCTTATTGAGAGACCTTTCTCAGAGGAGGAAATAAAAGAAGCTATCAAGTTGTTGGCTGATGAGAAATCTCCAGGGCCTGATGGCCTTACAAATCTTTTCTATATTAAATGTTGGGATGTGGTGAGATAGGACATTTTGAATGTCTTCCAGGATTTCTTTGAAAGGGGTTCTTTGCAAAGGTCAGAACACTACCTTCATAACCTTCATTCCAAAGATTGAAGGTGCAGTGAATATTAAGGACTTAAGGCCGATTAGTCTTCTACATAGATTCTACAAAATCCTTGCTAAAGTGCTTGCTGAGAGAATGAAAGTAGTCCTTGGTAGTGTTATCTCAAATAACTAAAGTGCTTTTGTTCCGGGTAGGCAGATGCTGGACTCTGTTCTCATTGCCAATGAGCTCATTCACTCTAGGAAAAAAGAAGGTTCCCCAGGGTTGATTTGTAAACTTGATATTGAAAAGGCCTATGATCATGTTAACTGGAGATGTGTTGATCTTGTGTTACATCAGATGAATTTTGGGCAAAAATGGAGGAATTGGGTTAAAGTCCGTATCACCTCTCCAAAGTTCTCAGTCTTGGTTAATGGACAGTCTACAGGTTTCTTTGATAGTTCCAGGGGTCTTAGACAGGGAGACCCCCTGTCTCCTCTTCTATTTATATGTGTAATGGAAATCCTCACTCTGTTCTGTAAGAAGGTTGCAGTTTCAGGTGAGTGGGAAGGTTTTGCAATTGTGTCGGGGGGAGAGAAGGTGAATATTCTTCAATTTGCAGATGATACATTGTGCTTTGTCGATGCCTCTTCTTCTCAAGTGGAGTTAATCCTTGGGATCTTGTGTTGGTTTGAAGTGACAACAGGTCTTAAAGTTAATTGGAACAAGAGCCAAATCATCCCAGTAGGCCATGTCTCCAACTTAGCAGAGTGTGTTAGTATTTTGGCTTGTCAGACTGAGTCCCTTCCAGTCAAATATTTGGGACTCCCTTTGGAGGTGAGTGGTGGTTCTTCTGCAATTTGGGACCCGGTTATTGAGAGATTGGAAAGGAAGTTGACCTCTTGGAAGGCAAAATACCTCTCATTTGGGGGTAAGGTGACTGATTATCTCCAATTTACCTACCCACTTCCTGTCTCTATTCTCTATTCCTAACAAGGTTGCAAATCAGATTGAAAAGCTTCAGAGGAGTTTTCTTTGGAGAGGCTGGGAGGAGGAGAAAAAAGTGCACTTGGTGAGTTGGGAGCAAGTTTGCCTTTCCAAAGTTGAAGGGGGGTTAGGTATAAGGAAGCTGAAATCTTTTAATTCTGCTCTCCTCTGTAAGTGGATTTGGAGATTTGCTGCAGAAAATGATGCATGGTGGAGATCTCTCATTGCTAGCAAATATGGTGTGAATTGGGGCAATTGGAGAACTAGGGACCCTCCTCCCAACTGTGGTAACTCTTTGTGGAAAGGGATAATGAAGAACTTTTCAGCTTTGGCCGCAGGGGTCTCAGTTAGGGTTGGTGCTCAGATGAACCTCTTGCTGAGTCTTTCCCCCTTCTCTTCCAATGTGCTTCGGATCAAGAAGCCTCAGTTGCAGAGTGCTATAGTATTTCTGGTGGTTCAGTTCTTTGGACTCCCTCATTGTTTTTTTTGATTGGGAGGTAGAAGAGGTTTTGAATCTGTTGACCTGCCTTCAAAACCAAGAGTTGGATTACAGTTCGGAGGATAAGTGGCATTGGAAGTGGAACTCTGATGGGGTGTTCTTTGTTAAATCTTTGGCTGCTAATCTCAGTAAGAGGGGTGTTCCTGAATTCCCAAATCGGCAAGTGTGGAATCTCAACAGCCCAACAAAAGCCAACTTCCTAGTTTGGACTATGGCTCTTAATAAATGTCTTTCTAAGGAGAACCTAGTGAGAAGGGGAATTCAGGTTTCGGACTTGTCTTGCAGTCTATGTGGGAGCAGTACTGAATCTACTGATCATTTGTGTATCCATTGTCCGTATTCTGCTCAGTTGTGGAACCATTTCCTCAGCTCCTTGAAGGTATGTTGGGTGATGTCAAGGTCGGTAAAAGAGCTGTTGTGTTGCTGGCAGCTTATGGGTTTCAGCAAGAAAAAGAAGACTGTCTGGAAGATGGTTCCAATTGTTGTAATTTGGTCCATCTGGACCGAGAGGAATAGAAGGATTTTCAGTAACAAGATTCTAAGTCCGGAAGAGTTAATTCAGAAATCAGTGGGCAAGCTGATTTGTTGGGTGTCTGTGGCTGCGGATTTTAGAAACTGTAATGTGTCAGATGTATTTCTTTCTAGCTCTTGATGGAAAGTGTATTTGCTGATTTGATCAGTCAGCCTGTTCTGGGACTGATCTCAGCCTCCTGTGTGTAATTTCTTATCAATAAATATTACTTTACCTTTTTCCAAAAAAAGAAATTAATGAAAAATAAAGACCTTCAAGTTGTGGGAAATGCAGGGTTCCCACATCTACTCTGCATTATTTAACATGTCCAAGTGAGAGCTGCTAGGAACAGTTATTCAAAACTTGTTGGAACTACATGATAGAAGAACAACTACCATCCAAGATCAAAACAAGGAAACTTATTTCTTTCTAAAAAGTAATTTAAAAATTTCTAGCTAAATCTCTTCTAAGACATTTCGGCAGGAAGTCCTTATAGCCCCTGCAATGTCAATTTGTGCCAAATTAAATATCCTAAAAAGTTTCTCACCCTACGCAACTATAGTAAATTTTATAACAAATGTGATGCTATGGAACAATTTAGGGAATAATTATCTTCCACCTTGACTTAAATATTTTGAGTAACCTTTTAATGATATTAATGATATAGTTCTTACAACCAAGGCAATCTATATGTATTACTTGGCTTGGATCCAACCACTACTGCAAACACAATGGAGCTGTTTCATACTTGATATTTTATGTTTCAGGAACTTGCCTGAAGTAAGAAGTGCTTATGAAATCTTGGGGGTACCTACTGTTAGTGCTCGATTTGGCACTGCTCCTTTCTTTTGGAATTGGGGAATGGTTGCCATGACAAGTCTTCTTCCTGCGGTATGTTATAATATTTTTTTCACATTTGGTTATTGGTTCAGTTTCAAATCTCATTACAACATTGAGGATGGATTGTTCAATAAACATGTATTAACAGTCACATCAAATTGGTGAATGGAGATTCATTGATAATCTTCAAATCCATTTACACGTCCAATATGAAGTTGCCAATAGCATCATTTTCCTATTCCACATTGAACATGCTGGACTATGAGATATACCTGGTATAAACTAAAGATAGCTTTCTAATGTGAACAATTTTTCACTTGCTCCTATCACCTGTTGACATGACTATCAAAGATATAAAAATTCCTGCAGGAGTTTTTAAGAGACAGGAGCAAAGTACAGAAGTTAGTTGAATTGTTTGATCCACTAGTCCGAGGTATTGATGGGATTGCAGGAGAGCGTGTGTCAATGAGGGTAAGAAACCACAAAATTAGAAATAAAGCAATTTTATATATTTAAGTTCTGGTGTGGTGTTGTCTTTCCAATATTGTGCACTTTCATGAGTGAGGGAGAGTAAATGAAGGCATGAATCTAGTTCATTCATGTTTAAAAAATCTTGAATGACATGGATTATTTTGTCCTTTTTCCCTTTTGGGGACAGGTGGATTTAGAGTGCTCAAAAGGACGCAGTACACTAGGTATATTCAGTCACAGAAGCCTTTCCGTGTAAGTCTTGGCTTTTTAGAAATCTATATGACATTCCTCACTAAACCATGCATCATCTGATTTTACATTTTCTTCTCTTTGTTTTGCCTTTGTTATCCTTTATATTTTCACTGTTGGGGCTGTTGACTGTGATCATAAATTAGACATCTTATTCTAGAGTCATGATCTACAGATCTGTGGGAACTGCCACAGCTGCATTTGCAATGGCTGTTCTCGAGGGAAGCACACAACCTGGGGTTTGGTTTCCGGAAGAGGTATGTGCTTGAGGTGTTCATGTGAAAGATATAGAGATACAAAATGTAAAACTACCCTATGCTCAAACTTCTTTCTCATTCTCCATATAGCCCGAAGGAATTGCAATTGAGGCAAGAGAGGTGCTTCTCAAACGTGCAGCACAAGGAACAATAAATTTTGTTATGAACAAGTAAGAATTTTGATCCTGGATTCATGTCTTTCATTCCATTTATTGCTATTGTGTTTACTTAAGTTTCTTTCAACAGGCCTCCATGGATGGTGGAGACCGACCCAAAAGAGATCGGGTTAGGAATATATGTTTGAGGATACTCAAATTCAAAGCCTAAGCACCGCTAGATTTAGCTTCAGCAGCTACCTTTTTGCAATATCAGAGAGGTAACTCTTAAGAGCATTCTCTGTTAAGTAGAATCAATCTGAGCAGGCTATCTGGATACTGTTGCAGTGTCACTAACTTAGGTATTTAACCTCACAGGTGTCAAAAGCTGCATGGTCTGTGGAGTGGATTGTCAAGTTTGCCTTTAGTGTAGGATCATGCATTACGGAGAAATTAATGAACGCCACTAGTTCATTGGTCTAATATTCCCCTGGTATTTGGATGAAGCATATAATACACATTTATAATTGTCTAAAGCAGTCATCAGAAACATAATTAAAATTGTCATTCTTTTTTTTATAAAATTTTGATTCTTTTAAGCAAAATAAATCACTACAACCCTTATAATATTGGCACCATCAGGTTTATGATTCTTCATTTGTTCAAGGAAAATAAATTTAAATACCTCTGATCAATTGACATGAAAACATTTTTAATATCAAGTTTAGTCAGATTATGTGTTGACTATTCCCTTATTAAGGTTGGACTGGGATTGGTCTTAGGTCGGTGTACACAAGGTCCAAAGTATCAGAAAGACAACTTTAAGAGATGTACCAAGATGTGCTTTGAATATGAATGGTTTTCAGTAGAAAAATTAAAACACATGCTAGGAAATTCGAATTGCCATCTTCATCATCATTATCTAGTCCTAATCCCAACTATGGGGTCAGCTACATGAATCCTGTGTTATCATTCTGTTCTGTTTAATACCGTATCTATTGGTAAATTATGTGCTTAAATCATTTATTACGACCCATGTCCCAAAATTCATTAATTACACTACATCTTTTTTGGCATCAATTACACTTAGATCTATGGTATGGATAAACTATAAGAAAGGTACATATAATATACACACTTTAAAGTCCATTGTAACCTGGGTGACAAGTTCAAATCTTGCTGTCTCTCTGTGTATTTGCAAGGGCTAGGCTGCATATATCTGTCCCTCCCCAGACTGCATTGATGGCAGCCTTGTGCACTGGGCTTCCCTTTATCACACTCAAGGTTTAAAGTATCTAGCCAAAAAGAAAAATTGTTTAAAGTATTTCATATGTATGTACATGTATTAGTATTAGGTTATTAGCAAGCATCATGGGTGGAATAGCCAAAACTCCATTCTATTCCACTTTATCCACACACTGATACAGACTTCATATGGCCCGATACAAGTACGGGTGGGATGGGTGTGTTCTGAATCTTAACTTTTAGAGATTCCCTTCTTGGTGTGTCGATTTGCTAATAAATGTTAAAATTGATTAATAAAAATTTATATATCTATAATAGCACAAGCTATAATGGTTTTTGAAAATTGGGTCATACTCAATATACATTCATATTTCGTATTTCAGTTCTTCCATCTTTTTTTTTTTATATACATTTACCAACCCTCATAGTTCACATCGCATACAACTGTGTTTCCTTTGTGTATATAGCTAATTTTTTATAATCCAAAACTCATGTTTAGTGTTAGTAACATATTTTTTGAGAGTTATTTGAAATTTTTCCTTTGTATCCATGTATGTTTTAAAGTTTTTCACCGTATCTATGCATATCCAAAGGTCAAAGCATTTCATGATCATGGTTCAAAATACCAATAATTCTATATACCAAAGGTCAAAGCATCATGTATGATACATATTAATAATTCTATATACCAAGGATTAAAATATTGATATGCACTACCCAATACATATTATATGTATTGTATTATACTCATTTTTTTATTTTTTTAATTTACAATGATTAGGGGTTTGGAAAAGTGACCCGAGACCATTTAAATATTTTAAAACACTTTTATATCGTGTATCCATGTGCATCTCAAATTCTCGATGAACCGATACGGATATGATATGCCCGATACCAATTCTACCAAAAAAAGGCTATATACTAGGATGTAAGAGGTTTTTATATGTTCAAACTTTAAACATTAAAAACCCTCTCTGAAATAATCAGAATGAAAAAATGAGAAATAAGCGAGTCACTGCTTGAAAATTTGAGATACGCGATTTTTGCATATATTTATACTTAAATCATGATTATGACACATCGTTTTCGATATTTTGAGCCTTGATCACACTTGGCCAAACCAGACAAATTCGTCCTGGATTCAGCCTGAACGGGATGGAGGCATAGAACCATAAAGATATGTACTAGCACAATGAAGCTCCAAGAATTGTACCGGAAGACCACATCATCGTATAACCTCTAATCCATGCGGAAACTAGCCCCACAATATGAAAGAAGATACCATGGAGAGAAATTTATATATGCTAATAAGCCTAATATAAAATAACAAACAATTGAATGAATTGAGATACATTATCCATTACAAAACCCTAATCTCATTAATCATGCAGCTCCACACTTCCACAGTCCACACAATTCAAGCTTTTTAAAGCTATTTTATNCAATCATCTCGTATCATTTCAAAACAACCATAATGCTATGTTAATCAAGGCTGCCCAAGAAGTGAAGGTCTGTAGAAAGCATGGCTTTGAGCTATCTCAATGCGATCCCGGGGATCATTCATGGCTTCATCCCTCAATGCTTGTAGAATAGCCTGTGATGGGAGTTCCCTGCACACACAAAGAGGTCAAACAATTAGATGGTAGGATGGGCCATTAAACATGGCCAACCTTGGACGGCCAGTTTAACAAGAATGATCTTCGAAACACTAGACAAATCTGAAAGCATCAACCATTTTTTCTGGGTGGTTTCTTTTTTTCTTATGGGGGAGAGAAGGTGGTCTTGACCATCTGCAAAGAGGGTAATGGGATTATATACCTTTTTATTAGAATTTTATATAGTGTCTTCAAGATGGGACAAAGCTCAACAGGAGCGACAGATCTGTTTTCATCTGGATGTAATACACTTAAGCTGGACTGACTTAGCAACTCATAAAATGCTCCCACAGCAGAGACTCCCTGAGAAATTCAAGACAGAGTGAGAATTCTTACTGATTATGCAAGTATAAAAAAGAAAAATCATGATGGGGCATTTATAAATTTGGATCAGTTCAAAGATTTACAGTTTCTTGGATGTGCTTAACCAAAATATCCCACCTGATGGGGAAAATTTTATTCTACATTATGTTAATATGCTGGAAGGTGTGTATCAGGTGTTTCGATCACACGCCTCCCATTTTTTTGTTTCATGTTTTTCAAAAATAGGTCAGGGGTTTGGCCTTAGGCCTGCCTACCCCCTGAAACTGATCAAAACCCCAAAGCCAATTTATTCAAAGTATCAAGGGCCTGCCAATATGAGGCATATTGTATTGAAATTTTGAACCTTGATTGCAGGTCATTCATCTCATTTATTCCCCAAACAGATTCATTCAGGCAAGTCACAAGACAGTTGAGTCACAAACTATGATTTTAACTTGTTATCTGTCATCAGAATTTTCATGTCTATACGTCCAATCAGGTGTGCAGACACTGCAAGGGCTAAGGTGGTGGCTACTTAAAGGTTCCAGGATTACAAAAAGAATACAGCCTCTCTTGCCTTCAGTTTGTAGTGACTGGAAAATGCAGTCAGGCAGTAAAATAAATAGGCTCAAACTTGTGGAGAGATACTGATCTCAGTGAGATTACAGACAACCTGAACGCTATTACTCTTATGACCTTGAGATTGATCCCTAAAAATCCAGATTTCATATATGTCTAGCTAAAAAGGGGTTATTGCTTGGTGTACTGGCAAAATCGTGGGTTGAAAACATGAGAATGCAGGTTCAAGTTTGAGAGTGTTCACTTTGTTGGGTGGGGGGGTGGACCCAAATAGCTGGGACAGATTTTAGGTAATGGCTACTTTCTAGCTAAAACGGGTGATCGCATTTTAGTTTAGAACATTCTCTTAACTAATCTTAACCATTAATACCAGTTAAACTGAATATGGTAACATTTTCTTTTGGTTATTAAGCCAGAATGAGCATGCAACCTTTATGGTTGAGATGCAGTACTGAAACAAGGTGCAGTAAAATGTATATTCTTTGTCAGACATGTAGAGTTATAAGTCCCAAGAGTTGCAGTTGAATGGACACGGAAAATTATTCAATCCAGGGAAACACTAGAATCTATATACCTGAATCATTCCTTTGCCCTTGATATTATCCCCCATATCAAGGCTCAGCTCACCCTTGGCTAACATCTGGCCGTACCATGCATTACGACCTTTTAACAGGGTTACATATGTATCAGCAAGCAAAGGACCAGCAAGCTTCTCTGGTTCTTCTGCCAATAGATGAGTAATAAATATCATTTCTGATGTACAGTGAGCAAAATATACTGCTTTGCTGGTAGCACTCTCCTTGGTTAGAGCTGCTGTCATTCCTGTGGAAACCAAATTGATAAAGTAATTATATAAACATTCCAATTCTGAATCTAAATATTTTCAAGACAAGTTAATTTGTTAATTCAAATACCAATTCAAACTTTCAACATCTTGTTTGGTAAACACAATTTTACAGGTCTTTATTCTTGACACAAATTCTACATAGATGACATATGCACATGTTCATATGGCTTGTATCAAACCCTTTAGTAGTAAGGGTATAGATGTATACAAGTGGTGACAACTAAGCAATAGGTGAGTTAATTTAATCCAATCACTGGGTTAATTATTATATTGATTAATAGAACTTATATTCAATACAGCAGAGCCCCTGTACAAAAGATGATGTACAAAGGGAATACACAAAACAAAGAAGTCCATGATTATCTGTTCACAAAAAGAGTTTCAAAATCAAAAAAGATGTTGTATGTTACCACCCTGAACCTCTTGTGAACCAACACCATGAAAATATCATACCAAAAACCTTTGTAAGCAGCATATCTTCTGTGAATGCATTGTTATCAAATATTCTACCATCTTTTTCAGCCCAAATGACCCACATAATACCCGGGGTGGGGGGGGAGTTTTTTTGGCAATAAAATATAATTTATTAAAAACAAAAAAGAAAATTACAAGGAAAGTGACCAGAAGTCACCTGAGAGAGAAAAAGAAAAAGCACACCAAAACCCAGACACAATTCCTTACCCAAATAGACCAACCAAATAACCAAGAAAAAACACAACCACCTGATTCCCAAAATTTTAAGCTTCCATATAGCAAAAATAATTCAAACATCAACCCCTCTCAATAGCCAATAAAAGACAAACAAAAACAAATGCTGAACTTCCAGCAACTCAAGAAAATCAGACTAGGATTAGAAATCACTACTTTTCCCTTAGAATTTTCCTTGATTTCATCATCTTCTTGTTTGGCCCTAGCCCAAAAGACCCCCTCTTAATCTATCGAACACTTTTGACACCAAGACATTTACGATGCTTTCTCTGACTTCTGAATCTTCTAACTGCAATAGTAGCCTTCCTGATATCTTTCAGATCCTTAGAATCATCATTAATCCTTTCCAATTCCAAGACTGTGTTCTTCTCAAGAAAAAAAAAAAAAAAAAAAAAACTGATTTGCACCCACTTCTTCACCCTTTTCAAGAACATCCCCTACCGGTCTTACTAAACTCCAAGCCTCACAACTATATTCACACCTTGAATAATTTCCAGCTGTATCATTTCATTCATAAAACAGAAAAGAACCTTTGTACAGCTGTACATTGGGGATGTACAATAAGAAAAGAAAAAACAAAAGATTTGGACCACAATGCCATCTGTGTTTACAAAAAAGGTTTCCAAAATCAAAAAGAGAACTGTAATTTGATCTGTCCAAGTTTAGCCGAGTTGTTGACCCAGGAGAACAGCTTGCCCACTATTTTCTGCCACAAGTTGACAACCTTTTTTTCTCATCAGCAAATAAGACTTCTATTAATTTCAAAGATAATAATATAAGGTACAAGAATTGAATTTCAGCACTGCAGCATCCCAAAATACAAACAATTACAGTTTGGCTTTGTTTTGGAATACCCTTAAACTCCTTTCCTGCCACGCAATCCAAAATACTGCTCCTGGAATCATTTGCCAAATGGCTTTTCCTCTTTGGACAAGTCCATCTGAACCTGCATCAGAGTTTCTGATAGGCATTGGAAATTTCACTTAATTGAACATCTTTCTAGTGCTTTCCTTCCTCCTATGAAAACAAGTCCCAATGACTTACTCACTTCCTCTGTGTTTAGTACCTTTTCCATATCAACTGACCATTCAATTATATGAGTTTCATCGGCATGAATTTCATCTTCGCTTAACTCACTTAAATTACCCTCGACCTCAAGTGCTTCACTGTCAAGCCCTGTGATATTGCAATCTTACAATGGCCTTGTCCTTTAACCCTTTTTCTCCACCACAAACTTGCTTCATTTCCATTCCTTCCTTCCCACTAATATAACTTCTAATTGTTTCACCATTATCTTCTAAGAGTTCACAAACAATTTTCCTTCATTCCAGCATAGAACCTAACACCTCTTTCTCCTCTAATGAAGTTTTCTGCTCAAACCCTTTAACATGCAAACCTCCTGCAATTTACAGACAATGAGAACCAATATTCTCTTCCACCCCTTGCCCATAATTTTCAAGGCATCTAGGCGATTCTGGGTGACACTGTGGTACCTAGTTGCCTAGTCTCTTAGGTGATAAAAATTTTATAATATAAAAAACTGACTTTTGGCTAGTTTCCTAGTTTTATATACCATTCAGCATGTATGTTAATTGAAAAAATAGCAATTCTCTTTATTAAGAACATTAAATTTCCTCTAAAAATGTGGCAAATCATCACATCTAAAAGAAAAAAAAAAAAAACCTTTCACAGCATTCGGCGTCCCTCCCCTTGGTGTTTTCTGGGCCCACGACCAAGAGGGGAGAGGAAGAATCACACAACAAGCCTCCTCACGTCAACCAGAAGTCCCTTTTCTTTGATTCGATCACTAATGGACAAAGAAAGCAGCTGGAGAAAGAAAAGGACTGATTGCATTACTCCTAAGACTTGACCTGTTGCTCTGATACCATGTTTTCTTGGTAAACACACAGCAGGATCTCAGAATAGTGAGAGAAGAGGGAAAAGAGAGAAGAGAGAAAAGAGAAAAAAAGGTTTTGGAGATAAAAACCTCAGCTGGCGGTGCCAGCCTTTTTGATATTTATATTAGGGCGACCACTCAAATAATAAAACAATGTAAAATTACATGTGTGCCCTTGCAGCACTAAACTAAAGTAAGACTAGCTTATTCAACAGTAACCATCAGAAACAAAACTAAACTTCTTTACTTCAGCATCGTTCTTCAAACTCTGACTTTCACTCACATCGGGGGCATTCATTGGTAGACAAATAACACAAATAGGAGATTTTCCCTAGAGAAAGGCAAGGACATTCCAGCAGTGAGCCTCAGTAGGGCATTGGAGATCCTCCATGAGAACTCAAACCAAAGCTAAAGCATGAGAGAAGAAAGAAAGGAGAGAACCAGAAGTAAGACTTAAGTTAGACCATATGACATGTACCACTGCACAACAAAATGATTAAGTGTGACTGCGAGTGCCAAACTTGTTCTTAATCTAAATGTCTTCCTTGGGAAATGGATCTGGAGGTTTGGAATGGAAAGAAAAGAATGGTGGAGGACTCTAATGGCAGCCAAATATAATACTGACAGTGGGGATTGGATCACTAGCTCATCTTTCAATTCTCTTGGCTGTTCAATTTTTTAAAAAATCATGGATACTCTTCCTGTCTTTGGCAGAGGATTGAGACCAAAGCTGGGGAAAGGGGATAGATTGCTTTTTTGGAAGGATCCTTGGTGTGGGCAATCCACTCTCTCAAATCAATTCCCACAGCTTTTCCAGATTGCAGAACCCCAGGATGCGTTTATCTGGGAGTGTAATGAAATTAATGAAGGAACTGTGATTAGGTGCCCTTCCTTCAGAAGGAATTTTCAAGATTGGGAGATTGAAAGCTTCACCAAGCTTCTGGAACTGATTTACCTTCAGCCCCTGGATCGGCTTGTGGAGGATAGTTGGGTATGGAGTTGGAGTTCGGATGACCAGTTCTCTGTCAGACCTTTTGTTAGACATTTGTCGAACCTCAGTCCAGTGGATTTTCCGGCTGCAAAAGTTTGGAATGCTGTAGCCCCCTCAAAGGTTAATGCTTTAGTTTGGGCTGTTTCTTTAGACAGATGTTTAGCTAAAACACATTTGTTAAAAAGAGGTATCTGGGCAAAAACAAGAAGACAGCAGCCATCTGTTAATCCATTGCTCAGTCTCAACAAAAATCTGGAATCACTTTCTTTCAGCACTGGGTATTAGTTGGGTCATGCCAAGCACTGTGAAGGAGCTGCTGAATTGCTGGGAGCTGCAGGGACTGTCAAAGCTTGCAAGAAGTATCTGGGAGACCATTCCGGCTGCTGTTATTAGCTCTATATGGACAGAGAGAAACAAAAGGATTTTCTGTAACTCATACAAAGATTCAGAAGATCTTATTGCTTTTGTCTTTGGAAAACTCCTGTCTTGGGTCTCGGCTGTCAAGGGGTTTCAGACCACCCAATTGGGGGCTAGGTTGGGTGCTGGGAATTTCAGGAATTTGTAATGGCTTGAATCCCATGTTGTCTTGTCCCAAAAGATAATTTTGGGGGGACCCTCTTGTATTATTATCTCTGATTTAATAAAGTTTTGCCTTATCTTTAGTCAAAAAAAAAGTGAACAGATGGGAGTTTCACCAATTAGATTGATTAAGCACTCCCTAGAGATTTAAAAAGTATGGTGGGTAAAACCATTTTACCTTCTGGCTTTCTTAAGGATTGCACTCAAAGTTCAGTGACTAATAGAAAAGGTCTGAAACTAAATCAAAAGGCATATTTTACCAAGTTTTCTTTTGCTGAAAAGAAAGTTATTTCAGAGTATGACTAAAGGAACACCTAACATAAAAAGATTAAGAAGACTTTCTTCTATTGATGCAAAAGAAAAAAAAAAAAAAAAACCATTTTAACAAAGAAAGTAATTTGGGAAAAAAATACCATTTTGATGGTGTTGGTCAACACCTATTTACTAGTAAAAAATACATCTTTTAAAAACAGAGTACCTCTATGTAGTATGTACTATCATAAAAATTGGCAATTTATTGTCTTTCCACTGGTGATATTCCCAATTTATCAGTCCAAATGAGTCCTCTAAAGGGAGAGAGAGAGAGAGAGAGAGAGAGAGAGAACAAAGCTACAGACTCCAAAAGAAACAATAAACCAAGATACTAAATACAACTACATTGCAATGGACTTTTTCCAAATCACACCTAACCAGGTGACAACAGTCTTCACAAAAAGACCATTTTTTATAGGAAACTACAACTTTCATTAATTAAGAGATTTCAAAGTGTTAGAATTCGGCCTGCCTTTGAGTTCTGTTAG